TGAGTGTATTATAGTAACATGTAATTTTATTATAGTAACATGTAATTTTATTATAGTAACATGTTAGTTTATTATCGTAACATGTAAGTTTATAATAGTAACATGTGAGTTTTTTATAGTAACATGTAGGTTTATTATAGTAACATGTAAGTTTATGATCGTAACATGTAAGTTTATTATAGTAACATGTAATTTTATTATAGTAACATGTAAGTTTATTATAGTAACATATAAGTGTATTATAGTAACATGTAATTTTATTATAGTAAAATGTAAGTTTATTATAGTAACATATAAGTGTATTATAGTAACATGTTAGTGTATTATAATAACATGTTAGTGTATTATAGTAACAAATAAGTGAATTATAGTAACATGCAATTTTATTATAGTAACATGTATGTTTATTATAGTAACATGTTAGTGTCTTATAGTAACATGTAAGTGTATTATCGTTACATGTAAGTTTTTGTATAGTAACATGTAAGGTTTTTTATATTAACATGTAAGTTTATTATAGTAACATGTTAGTGTATTATAGTAACAAATAAGTGTATTATAGTAACATGCAATTTTATTATAGTAACATGTAAGTTTATTATAGTAACATGTTAGTGTATTATAGTAACATGTAATTTTATTATAGTAACATGTTACTATAATAAAATTGCATGTTACTATAATTCACTTATTTGTTACTATAATAAACTAACATGTTACTATAATAAACATACATGTTACTATAATAAAATTACATGTTACTATGAAAAAACTTACATGTTACGATCATAAACTTACATCCCCCTATAATAAACCTACATGTTACTATAAAAAACATGTAGGTTTATTATAGTAACATTTAAGTTTATGATCGTAACATGTAAGTTTTTTTATAGTAACATGTAAGTTTATTATAGTAACATGTAAGTTTTTTATAGTAACATGTAGGTTTATTATAGTAACATGTAAGTTTATGATCGTAACATGTAAGTTTTTTTATAGTAACATGTAATTTTATTATAGTAACATGTAAGTTTATTATAGTAACATGTAAGTGTATTATAGTGACATGTAAGTTTATTATAGTAACATGTACGTGTATTATAGTAACATGTAAGTGTATTATAGTGACATGTAAGTTTATTATAGTAACATGTTAGTGTATTATAGTAACATTTAAGTGTATTATCGTTACATGTAAGTTTTTGTATAGTAACATGTAAGTTTTTGTATAGTAACATGTAAGTTTTTGTATAGTAACATGTAAGTTTATTATAGTACAAGTAACATGTAAGTTTATTATAGTAACATGTTAGTGTCTTATAGTAACATGTAAGTGTATTATAGTGACATGTAAGTTTATTATAGTAACATGTTAGTGTCTTACAGTAACATGTAAGTGTATTATAGTAACATGTAATTGAATTATAGTAACATGTAAGTGTATTATAGTGACATGTAAGTTTATTATAGTAACATATAAGTGTATTATAGTAACATGTAATTGAATTATAGTAACATGTAAGTGTATTATAGTGACATGTAAGTTTATTATAGTAACATATAAGTTTATTATAGTAACATGTTAGTGTATTATAGTAACATATAAGTGTATTATAGTAACATATAAGTTTATTATAGTAACATGTTAGTGTCTTATAGTAACATGTAAGTGTATTATAGTGACATGTAAGTTTATTATAGTAACATATAAGTTTATTATAGTAACATGTTAGTGTCTTATAGTAACATGTAAGTGTATTATAGTGACATGTAAGTTTATTATAGTAACATGTTAGTGTCTTATAGTAACATGTAAGTGTATTATAGTGACATGTAAGTTTATTATAGTAACATGTAAGTGTATTATAGTAACAATTAAGTGTATACAACTATACAATTAGCAAACGATGTAGCAAATTAATATCTGTCTATTAAAGTATGTTATGAAAGTAACATACGGTGTATTAGAGTTAAGTGCATCAAATAACAAACAGAATATTCAGGTAAGACAATATATACATGTACTATGTAGTAGCTTACAGTGTATTACAGATAAATGTAGGGTGCACGTATTAGAACGAAACACAATGAATTAAGAAAAGCAATTAAGAAAATAGTGTATGTATTAAAGATACATCAGTGTAAAAAGAAACACATATAGTTTAAAAGTTACAGTGTATTAAATTATCATGGAGTGTATTGAACTGAAATGAACAGTATTCAAATACCATACGGTGTCCTAACGTAACATACAATTAATTCAAGAAACATACAGTGTATTAAATTATCATGGAGTGTATTTAACTGAAATGAACAGTATTCAAATACCATACGGTGTCCTAACGTAACATACAATTAATTCAAGAAACATACAGTGTATTAAATTATCATAGAGTGTATTTAACTGAAATGAACAGTATTCAAATACCATACGATGTCCTAACGTAACATACAATTAATTCAAGAAAAAATACAGTGTATTAAAGTAATAGTGAATTTAAGTAATATTCAATCAATTTAAGTAATTTACATGTACAGTAAATTTAATCAAATACAGTGATTTTAAGAAACATACATTGAATTTAAGAAACATACAATGAATTTGAGTAGCAAACACGGAATTTAATTAGCATACAGTGATTTTAAGAAACATAGTGGTTTTAAGAAACATACAGTGAATTTTAGTAGCAAACCGTGTATTTAAGTAGCATACGGTGATATTTAGAAACATACTGTACATTTCATTACATATAAATAATTTAAGTAACATGCCGTGAATATAAGTAGCAAACAATGAGTTTTAGTAACATACTGTGTATTTAAGTAACAACCATATAAATAAAGAAACATAAAGTTATTCAAGTAACAAACATTCATTAAGTAACATACAGCATATAAACACGTAGTGTATTTAAAGGAAATACAGTGCATTTAGATACCAAACAATGTGTAACAGTAGCATATACATGTAGCATATTGACGTAACATAAAATGTATAAAGTGTAAAAGAGTATTCAAATAACGTACAGTGCGTATTACATGTGATGTTCCGTCTTTGCGTATTGCAGAGTTATCTTCTCTTGAGAACAGGTATTGATTGTTACGTCATTGGTTTGTGAGAGTAACGTCATCAATTTTTGAGAAAATGACGTAATTTTCTCACACAAACTAATAACGTAACAATCAGTACCTGTTCTCAAGAAAAGATAACTCTGCATTACGCAAAGACGGAATATAGCGAAATACAGTGTTTTCATATAACGTTATATTAACATGTAATATTTTAGGGTACCATGTATATTGAATACAACGCATTGGCATTCGGTGTATCTAAGTAATTTACAGTGTATAAGTATACAACATATTATCTTATGGTTCGGGTATGCGCCTATAAAGTATCGACCTCTATTAAATACAACCTATTTTTTTGTATTTCTGTCCGAATATTCAATTTAAAAAAACTTGTATATACATTTTTTAAACGTATGGAGGCCATCTTGAATTTTTCCGGAGGTAATTTTTTTTTCTCGATGCCTCCTTATCTGAAAATAACCAGTGTAATTTAATGAACTTATGTAACAACATTTTTTTTCTCTCCATAAAGTGAAGAATTCCTCTGTCCTTGGCTTATACCCGCTGTAGATATATACCATTGATTGGATAGAGGGGAGCAATTTTACCGAGAACTGATTTAAAACGTTATAAAATACTTCCTTTATCTCGCGCTATTTCTAAACACATATTCAGTCAGGGTTTTTAGATCCTTGTGCACTTCCTCATATACACCATACTATTATTTAGGGGCAATTCAAAAGAGAATGTAATACTATCCCATAAAGGATTGCAAGGCAACGTGGCTTTTAAATCGCTACGGATTTAGGTTGTTTTGATAGCTTAACTTTGCGACTATTTCATCTAATAACTTGTGTAAAAATGTGTCAAAGATATTTTTTATAAAAAAAATATTTGTTTTCAATTGTGATTTTGAAGCGTCGCTTGTGTTATTAAGCCAAACAAATACAACCTCTTTTTGACATTTGGTTTATTGATAAACTAATTGCATTAATTGGATATTAAGCTAACCAATACCGAGATGTTTAATGGCAGGTCAGCTGAACAACTTGTTAACAAAACTATTGAAATAGTAGTAATAATAATAATAATAATATCTTTTATTCAATAATAAAAAAAATGCCGCATTTTGAATCATATCTTACATTTCATAAATATATTTTGGTATTTCTTGTCTGTAGGTGAATATTAATAAATCAAAATTTAGTTTTGAATGTCATTTTTTTGATAAATGATATCTTTTAGTTATTTTGTCATTAAGCGTACTCGACACTGTACAGCCTGTCACATTTAACAAATCAATGCATTCGGGAGTCAAAATTCATGCTGCAGTCTTATGGTCTACAATGGCAAACTGAAGTCCATCTTACAAAGAATGTTGAGTAAATTACAACACGCGACATGGTATTTCTAATTTTACAACAGTTCTCGTTTTAAAACATGACCGGAGGTACATAAGTACAAGTATACCAGGGGCCTGTTCGTTTATTAAATGCAACATTTTCGGGTATAAATCATGGCGGACCTGCAAAAGTTTATACAGGCCTTGCAAGGCTTGGTCAAGGCTCGCCTAAAAACAGCATCAGAAACGAACAACCCTGGTTCAACCGTTTGGATCGCGATACACGAAAACGGCCCTGGAAACTAAGTTTGGTAATATCTTAGCTGCGATAACGTAGCTTCTGACAACCAGACAATTTTTAAATATTGGCTCGGCACAGGAGGCCGGGTATTGATATCACTGAGGAAGAAAAAGAGCACGAAAGGCCCAAGGTTTTTCATCTTTTTTGACACTAGATTGATCACTTAAATCGTCATTGTGTCGCCATTTTTTATTGTAGCAAGTTGATTTTTGCTGTACAACTTTATAACGTTCATGTCTTGAAATATAATTGTTCATGTAAAATAGACAAAATCAAACTTACCCCTGTGAAGGTGGAGGTCCACTCCCTGTTGTATACTGGTCAATGGACAGAGTTAAAGGTAGGCACTGGTTACTAGAGTTGATCGAGATCGGTAGCTGGTTACATTATAACGCTGTATGTGCTCCCTGTCGACTGGTTTACGGGTTACTTGTGGGACAGGGTGAGGCCTTGTGTAAACGAATCAAGGAAAATGTAAGCATGGAATGTCACGATATGGTAGAGGCGGACGTATAAATATACCAGTCACACGACAATTATTTTTACTCTGATATTGTGTAATACGTACACTGTGACAGACACTGACTGTGTAATACTGTGACAGAGAATGACTGTTATACTGTAACAGAGAATGACTGTATTATACTGTGACAGATAATGACTGTGTTATACTATAGTATACTGTGACATACAATGACTGTGTTATACTGTGACAGATAATGACTGTGTTATACTGTGACAGACAATGACTGTGTTATACTGTGAAAGACAATGACTGTGTAATACTGTGACAGATAATGACTGTGTAATACTGTGTTATACTGTGACCGATAATGACTGTGTTATACTGTGACAGACAATGACTGTGTAATACTGTGACAGACAATGACTGTTTAATACTGTGACAGACAATGACTGTGTAATACTGTGACAGATAATGACTGTGTAATACTGTGTCATACTGTGTCATACTGTGTTATACTGTGACAGATAATGACTGTGTTATACTGTGACAGACAATGACTGTGTTATACTGTGACAGACAATGACTGTGTAATACTGTGACAGACAATGACTGTGTAATACTGTGACAGACAATGACTGTGTAATACTGTGACAGATAATGACTGTGTAATACTGTGTCATACTGTGTCATACTGTGTTATACTGTGACAGATAATGACTGTGTTATACTGTGACAGACAATGACTGTGTTATACTGTGACAGACAATGACTGTGTTATACTGTGACAGACAATGACTGTGTTATACTGTGACAGACAATGACTGTGTTATACTGTGACAGACAATGACTGTGTTATACTGTGACAGACAATGACTGTGTTATACTGTGACAGACAATGACTGTGTTATACTGTGACAGACAATGACTGTGTTATACTGTGACAGACAATGACTGTGTTATACTGTGACAGACAATGACTGTGTTATACTGTGACAGACAATGACTGTGTTATACTGTGACAGACAATGACTGTGTTATACTGTGACAGACAATGACTGTGTTATACTGTGACAGACAATGACTGTGTTATACTGTGACAGACAATGACTGTGTTATACTGTGACAGACAATGACTGTGTTATACTGTGACAGACAATGACTGTGTTATACTGTGACAGACAATGACTGTGTTATACTGTGACAGACAATGACTGTGTTATACTGTGACAGACAATGACTGTGTTATACTGTGACAGACAATGACTGTGTTATACTGTGACAGACAATGACTGTGTTATACTGTGACAGACAATGACTGTGTAATACTGTGACAGACAATGACTGTGTAATACTGTGACAGACAATGACTGTGTAATACTGTGACAGATAATGACTGTGTAATACTGTGTCATACTGTGTCATACTGTGTTATACTGTGACAGATAATGACTGTGTTATACTGTGACAGACAATGACTGTGTTATACTGTGACAGATAATGACTGTGTTATACTGTGACAGACAATGACTGTGTTATACTGTGACAGACAATGACTGTGTTATACTGTGACAGACAATGACTGTGTTATACTGTGACAGACAATGACTGTGTTATACTGTGACAGACAATGACTGTGTTATACTGTGACAGACAATGACTGTGTTATACTGTGACAGACAATGACTGTGTTATACTGTGACAGACAATGACTGTGTTATACTGTGACAGACAATGACTGTGTTATACTGTGACAGACAATGACTGTGTTATACTGTGACAGACAATGACTGTGTTATACTGTGACAGACAATGACTGTGTTATACTGTGACAGACAATGACTGTGTTATACTGTGACAGACAATGACTGTGTTATACTGTGACAGACAATGACTGTGTTATACTGTGACAGACAATGACTGTGTTATACTGTGACAGACAATGACTGTGTTATACTGTGACAGACAATGACTGTGTTATACTGTGACAGACAATGACTGTGTTATACTGTGACAGACAATGACTGTGTTATACTGTGACAGACAATGACTGTGTAATACTGTGACAGACAATGACTGTGTAATACTGTGACAGACAATGACTGTGTAATACTGTGACAGATAATGACTGTGTAATACTGTGTCATACTGTGTCATACTGTGTTATACTGTGACAGATAATGACTGTGTTATACTGTGACAGACAATGACTGTGTTATACTGTGACAGATAATGACTGTGTTATACTGTGACAGACAATGACTGTGTTATACTGTGACAGATAATGACTGTGTAATACTGTGACAGACAATGACTGTGTTATACTGTGACAGATAATGACAGTGTTATACTGTGGCAGATAATGACTGTGTAATACTGTGACAGATAATGACAGTGTTATACTGCGACAGAGAATGCGTATGTTATACTGTGACAGAAAGTTACTGAGTTTTTCCGTGACAGGGAATAGGTGTCTATGTTGTGGCAAGAATAAACTGCATATTCAGTGTAGTATCAATGTACTGTGGCGTGCATTAAGTTAAAACCAGGAAACATGGTATTTTATTTGATTACACGCAATTCTCCTTCAGTTTCATTTGTTAGATCATGATCACGTGGTTGGTGATGATTTGTGATGTTGACTCGGTATTCCTATTTTTAGAAACAGTAATTCAGTTTTCTTTTGATGACGTCATTTCAACGTCAGAATGCTCCCTGCCATATATATGCAGCACATTTCTCCGTACAATTTTGGTACACTCCATTTCGCATTATGAATAAAATACTATTTAGCATCTAATATAACAATTCAATACTTTTGTTTCTATTTTATGTGGTTATATGGACCACATATTCACTTTGTTTCGGTTAATAATACTTTGAAGTTCATATAACCACATATTAACCCCATCAAAAGTCCATAATCGGTAAAGTTTATACCGTAGAGCAGAACATAATATCATGGAGCAAATGAGTAAAAAGACATATTTTTTTAAATATATAATTAAACAGATTTGTACGCCATTGAGCAGAATAACAAAACCGTTACAGATTAAGCTATGGTGCAAACTACTGTGCGGTTGAACATTAAAGTATAGCAAGGAGCAAACGAGTAAAAACCATGACACATATTTATACTAACTCACAAAGGTATAAGGAAAATAGACATTTAATTATCGATACATTTTGTATATCTCCGTATTTGGGAAATTCTTGAATGGGTAATACAAATGTTTATTTCTTGAGGTCATAGCCACAGAGACTTTGGAATTTGTTACAGCTATATTTGGACCTAAACTAAGGTATTCAGAGTAATTTTACATGTTTTAGGGGTTTAGATCGACTTTCTGTAAAAATGACACCCCCAATGATCATATATACGAGAATGGAGGAAAGCTCTCGATGTCGATACAATGTATGTGTGTTTCATGTATCCCGACCTACCCTAGATTTTACTGCCGACCCTAGATATTTTATCACCTACTTGTATCTAAGATTATTTTATTAGCCAGGCAAAGTTCTCAACCACTCATCAAAATGTACTTTCTTCCTGTTCTGGTTGTCTGACCCTATTTTTGACAAATTAATAGCCAATGTAATGTGTGGAAATGCATTGTAAAATATTGAAATAAATCATAATTCACGAAAATAAATAATTAACATAAGAAATGAAATTATTTGCCTACCGACCTACCCTATTTTTTTTAGTTATGTTACCTGAAACGAAATTTTTTTTGGCCTTATGATATCGAATTATGTGTAAATATAGATGGGGAGGTATGTACTAAGTACAATATATAAAAGTAAAATTGTTCTCTCTCTGTTTTGTGAAGATGTAAATTCATATTTCATGATTTGTAGTTCCAAAGAACTGTGTGTTTGTTGTGTTAGGTGGCGTACAGGTAAATAGATGTGTACCTATATTTATAACGTTAGTTTGCAACGTACGGCAGCCTGTAGGCGCAATATGCATGATTTAAGCATATTATGGGCTATCAACAACAGACAGTTTACAGTCGGTCTTAACGGATACAGCTAGTTTTGACCGAGAGCCACTACGTCCCAAAATATTATACATATATCTCTATGATTTATGGCACCAATACGAAACACTTGGAAAGCAATATTCCAACAGTAATTTTCGGAAATCTATCAAAAGCCGTATTTTCCCCCTTCGATATGTCGTCTGTGCCTTTTTCACGATCAAAAGACATTGACAGGTAAGTTCAGGTACAAGCTTCGCCCACATAATTTGTTCAGTCATTTCCGTAAGGATGTTACGAAAATAGCCGAGGGAGTTATTCTGTAAACGGGTGTTTTATTTATAGAAATAGCACATGGCAGATAGATGACTAACTCCCTGGATAAGTCAGGGCAATAGTGGGATCTACAATATGTAGGATATCTAAAAAGATTTTTTCAGAATTTTTCTTTTCACATAAATAAGGAAGAGAGATGTTAAGTATATACATAGTACCATATCACTGTTTTGTGAGATTTTATGTTCTTATATCATTGCTACTGTGGTTACCAGCGTTCCGGATTGCAATCCTCGCGTACAGAACTTATGTTTATTTGCTTCTACGATGTACCATGAACAAATTCGCGACTGTGGGCTTCCCATTGCGGTTTCGTATCTTTGTTGTTAAACCTGACCTCTGATTTCAAGTCAGATGCTTTAATTTTTTAACATAGCGTGTTGCTGTTCCAACACCAACGGTGATGAATAGATTTTAAAGGGATCGTGATCAAATGTCACTACTTACTTTGCTGTACAAAATGTAGTCCATTTTTGGGTAATTGTTCTACACTCAACATTTGATCTATTCTAAATAACTTGTTGTCCAATCCATTTATATCTTTGTAAGGTGAGATGTCTTTTAAAGCTGGGCGTCAATAATACGTGTACAATTTGGTCACATCATTGTACAGATATTCAATGCAAATCGCTCACGCCGTCACCCTTGACAAAGAGACAAGGCAGTCTTTGGATGTTTGTACATACAATTTATTGTTTGTGTATAAAATGAACTTTGGTACATGTTATT